TGAAAAGTCATGACACTAAAGTAGGCGCTTAAAGCAAAGCTCCGTTTAATTAGCCGACAAGTCTGACAGATACTATTTAACATGAATCACTTCCCTGATATGTCTCGCAGAGCACGTGATGGGGAAAAAAAAAAAAGGTTCTGTGCAGACATGTTGAGCTCATTTATTTAACAGTCCAGACAGACAGGAGAAGAAAACGACATTTTCTCATGTCTGCCTCATCCACTTGTTGGACTCACTGATCTTAAAAGCTGACAGTTTGCAATTCAGGATGGAGGTTTAACTGAGTGTTAACTGCGCTTAGAAGCACATCACAGCGTGTAAGGAAGCATTCAAATACTATTTATGTACAAAAAACATGGAAACATTATACACCCTTTGTAATTCACCCAAACATACATGCAGTACTAAAGCCAAATTGTAACCAAAGCTCTGTATGAGATGTGCAGTTTGTGTTGAATCACCTACTGGCATTTTGTAAATAGAACAATGCAAGAGTGCTGCAAGAAGACATAGAAAATAAAAGTTCAACGGTTCAGTGTTTTAGGATTTTAAGTTAGTTGCAGAAAGTTGTTCGTTTCATCCGCATGTTTGATGTATGAATACTTTGAAATAGTCATTTTGTTTCCTCTTGCAAGCCACTGAAACTAAAAGATGTAACCTCGTGATTCATTTAATTGTTTTATCCTTTAACATATACCCTGACTGGTACACCTACTTGTGTGTGTCTATGTATTTGCATGTGCTTATCCATACTGTGTCTACTTTTGCATGTGTTTTCAGGTGCACATGTTTCATTTAACTGCTTGAGCTTTAGTTTGAAAGGTGTGTGTGTGTGCATATCTTAAACACAGAGAGAAGTTTCCCAGGTCATATTCCTGTTTATTGCAGTGTGAGTTTGTGACACAATAGAAGATGGTGTTTCATGCCTCCACTCTGCCATTCACATGTTTTTTGATCGAAGTATGATCCCAAAATGTGTGCATTTGAATGCATGTAAGAATGCAACGTAATCATTCACATGAAATCTGATGTAAATACCAGAATGTGCGTCATAGAATTTAACAATAAAATATCTTCTGAAATGTGTGTCATAACTCACGAGTGCATTGTTCAGCGTTCCATTTATGAATCATACATTCATATCATGAATCAATATTATTTTTGGACTTTTGGATGACATTCAAACACCTGCCAAGACCTTTTGCTGCTAGCATGTGATAGGACTGGCTTATTAACTTGTGTTAATAAAGGAGGATATTGAATTTCATACTGACAGATTGATAGCATGTAATTACATGCTTTATGTTTGTTGTACAGTTGCGTAAGCACTGTGACAACAGGAATAGAGCAAGAAAGGACAAGAGTTTGTTTCAAAGAACACGTGCAAACAACTGCTGCACCTAATGAGTGTTGTATTAGGTGTTAAAATTACACAAAACACTGTAGACATTTGTACCCACAATGGATTTTCTTTTTTAGCTCACCTTTCACGTTCACCTTTGCAAGAGTTTTTTTGGCTGTTTTTGCAGCGGCCTCCAACACGAGCTTCCAGTTTTTCGCCTGATTTACAGCCCAAAGGTGCAGTCCACTGCTCCGAAGTGTTTACTCACCACAGGCATTAAACATAACTGTCAATTAGGAGTGGAAGTAGGGGCTCCTAATGGCCTTGTTTAGACCATCGTGTAGACAAGCATTAGCGTCTCAGAGTCTGACATACTTGTGTGTGTGTGTGTGTGTGTGTGTGTGTGTGTGTGTGTGTGTGTGTGTGTGTGTGTGTGTGTGTGGCAGAAGCATGTAAGAAGCAGTATGTATGTGTTTCTGCATGTGTGTGCACAAGTGTGTCAAACCTCTTCACAGTGTAACTCCCCTTGATCATCGAGAGCAGTGAACATTTCACCTGACACCTTTACGAGAGGACAGGACCCCGGACTCGTTTTTAAAGTCCCTTGTCCACTTTGATGTGCATTATTCAACACACCTGTACCTGATTTGTGCAGCGCTCTCTTTCGTCTCTCAGTTACCCCTGAATGTTAGCACTAGTTTGGGCTATGGCTGAACGTTAGCAGTATTTATGGTAGATTGATTTTAATGGCGGAAGTTTCTAATCAAGAAAAGTGTAAGAATAGATGGACATGAGAAAAGGTTGAAGTAAAGGCTAAACCTACTTTTTATGGTTTTTCCCTCTTTATCAGACAAGAGAAATAAAAATTCCATGAAACAAAGGCTCTGTCCTAAAAACAACAAGGGGCTTTTTTAGTGCCTTTATCAAATTAAAAACACAAACAAATAAGCTCTTCAACATAATCATATCGATATGATCATTGCTTTCAACACTTCATGAGGTCCTTTTGGTCTAACTTAACATCCTTCCCCATTTACCACTGCAGCAACTGTTTTTGAAACCTAATAAAATCCCATCCATTGCTGCAATATAACTTAAGCTGCTTTAACTTCCTGTTGGGGCGGTACACAGGTGTGCGTCCGAGATTAATGTCTGAAGCATTTTGGAGGAGAAAGGGTTGATGGGAGGATAAAAGATACAACGAGCTCATGAATTATCTGCATATGCGAGCTGCTTATTTGATCATCGATAAGGGGAATGAGTCCACTTGCTCTCCAGTCTGCGCTCACGCGGAGCCTATGAGCCCTGCGATAGCATCAGTTTAGCTTCCAATGACAACTAGTCCTTAGCATGGATGAACACAGCTTCTTTGGTAAGCTATATATGATAGGATTATGACTGTATTTGATATGCAACGCATGGAATTAAAGAATATCTTGATAAGTTGAAATGATTCTCACGCTTTAAAGCACATGGCTTAGCTAGGCTACGTCCACAGTACACTTGGCTGTACAGTAAATTACCTGTTTTGCCCTTGAGGATCAATACCCAGGCAGTGAAGGGCACCTCTTTTTGTTTCTTCTGCAAATAGTTTAGCTAACACGAGGCAAAGAGCTCTTCAAAAGGAGCCGAAATACCTCTGTACAATTGTGACTAATTCTGGCATAAATTCACAATGGTTTCATAACAGGCTTCACAGCTTGAGGTTTGTCATGTGCGATGGATGCCTTGCTCCCATTTTCACCTGCCATTGCTCTCAATCAAACAAAGAGGTGGGGAGGAAGTTTCTTTTCATGTTTTCAAAGGGGACTGGTTGCAGAGCTGTTTTTTTTCTTTTAACTGAAACAATTACTCTTTTTATTGAGAACAAATGTTGACATTTGGAGGGTGCAGCAGTGGGTTAGAGAAAGGGAGAGACAGAGAGAGAGAGAGAGAAATAGGGCCCCTATGTGCTTTGTGAAGGCCTCCAGAGCTATTGACAACAGTGCTGAGTCCTCAGGGAGAGCCCACCTGAGAATAAAGCATGCATTTCAATAAATCATTTCCGAATGAAAGCGTTTGGGCTGAGGAGGAAGAAGCTAGCCAGGGGCTACAGTGTGGATGACTGCCTGTGAAAGAAATATATAAGGTAAAATAAATCAGTAATAGGAAGTGGTAATCAAAAGGAGAACAACATCTGATTCAAAGAGAAATCCATTTTTATCCTTAAAAGACCTTGATTCCATCACATTCCTGACATTGTGACACTATTCACCAATGCATTGACGTGAAAAAGACTCCTGTCAGCCAAAAGGGTGGGTTAACTGAGTAAAGTTGGGTTTACCCTCCACTGCATCCCCGGTGGCAGCCAAATATTACTTCCATGGATGAGTCAAGGGAGGAGGAGAAGGGAGGAGGAGGAAAACCAAGGTGAAAGGGAGTCCCATGAGATTTGGACAACACTCAAGCTCAAATTCAACTGGAAAATGAAGGATTAGCTTTTAGTCTGGCTGGGAGCGATGATGGAGGCTTGCTCTTGGAGGACAGGAATATTAGATATTTGATCTTTGAGGATTTCACACCCTGTGAGGCCAGAAGTGTGGTGTGACAAAATATTCTCTAGTATAAAAAGCATAAAAATTTAACTTAAAGAGGTTTGAAAATACATAGAAAGACTAGTTTGAATTATTATTATTATTATTATTATTATTACTTTTATTATTACTATTATCATTACTATTATTAAATTACTAAAGTTATTATTATTCATTGTAAATTAAAGGCATTAGCATGGCAAACTCCATCATGAGAATGAGCTTTATGTTTATTTCAAAAATATTTTGTTGCATTATTATCATTATTATTATTATTATTATTATTATCGTAGTTGGTGTAGCCTACCAGTATGGTAATGTTAACATAAGCTTTAATGTTATTGTTTTTAAACTAGAAGTAGCATTATGGTTATTAGCCTGTAATATTAGCCTGTTATTAGGCTATAATACTATTACCCTATTCTGCAATTAAGTCTTATTTTCTTCTATCTAAGCTTTTTTACCCCAAACTGTTTAATTATCTGTGTCCCGAAGCCGCAGTAATAACACAGCCATGATGAAAAGCAGAAGAAAGCCTGTCCGATTAGGGCCCATCACACAGCCCATTGGAGCTGGCAGATGCTTAGATAGACTTTTATGGATTGCTCAATGCCGTGCCGTAATGAAGCAGGCAGGGCTGACCCATCCTGAACCAGGCTAAAAAAGCTCCAGGGACGGGCCCCGCTGGGAGCCCATAATGCCCGATGTGTCCCACGGTTGTATTAATCACACTGAAAAATAAATGTGCGGCAGGCTGGGCGAGATGAGAGAGGAGAGAAAAAGGGGAAGAAAAAATGAAATAAGTATGTCGTTTATCCCAATCAAGGTCGTGAATATGTGACCGTGTGAGATCCCCCTGACCAGAATGAGGCGTTAAAGGAAAATGATGGTCCATTTAGACAGAATGGATTGTGCAATCTGTGAAAACTCATAATGTTTATGAAAAGTGAGATTCATCAAACATTTCCCATCTGTGTGGGACTGTCAGAGTAAAAGCGCAATGAGAGCAGGGTGAATAAAAATAAAACGCCCCAGTGTTAAATAAAGGTCTATAAATAAAGAATGACTCCCCAAGAATGATGTGATAGTTGGGAAAACAGTTTAATATTTTCTCCTTTGAATAATGAATATCATATCCCGCCAGTACATCGATACCAGCGCGTTTGATTTTATTTACATTCAAAGATATAAATTAGTAAAAGTTCTCCTGATAACAAGATTGTGTAGCTTTTTTTTTCACCCCCAAATGCGTCTCAAATAAAAACCGTCCATAATATATATATTTACAAAACACACAGACGATGTCAGTTTTCCATTTTTGCAATACAACTTGCATAAATTATAGGCATCATTTCGCCTTCATTTAAAAAAATAAATATCAAATGTAGGCTATTCCACTTTGAAGTCCTCGAGTTCTCTTCAGTTTCCGTCCGCTGTGCGTCCCCAAGACACTTCCTTTTACAAAAACGGTTTCACAGAAAGGCCAAATCATGTTTTCCAAAAGTAAATAGGCTATACTAAAATAATATACCGTGGCAAATAAGCAAACTATAGGAACCTGAGAAATTACATGTAAATCACATATAATGGGAGATCTGTTTCAAACCAGCGTAATTATGAAATGATTATCCACAATGCATCAAAACAAAAACAAATCAATTAAAATCAACTGAAATGATACGGTTATAATTATAATCTGATGTGTCTCAGCCTGTGTGCAGCTGAAGAAGCGGTAGCAGCTTTTATCCCGTGTGTATGGTGGCACTAGATCCAGTTTGGAGTAAAGGTTATGGGGGTTAACACGGGGGCTAAAAGGTGGTGGCCTTACTCGCTTTATACTCAAAGCAATTGTGACACCTACCTGCAGAGCGTGGAAATAAAAAATCCCACACGATCAAATGATCAACTCTCTCCACAAACCAAGAAAACACAAAGTTTTCCACAGGCGGGCTCTACAAAAAAAAAAGCAGTCATGAACTGCAAGTGCTTATTAAATCCCCACTGCCTAATTACCGGTTTAGAAAAAAAAAGAAGAAGGAATCGTCTATGCACTCCCAAGTGCAAAGCTTTGAGTGTGAGTAACAATCTCAGTGACATTTGAAGATGTAAAAGTTGTACGATGAATGCACGGAGCAAACTATCTGTTGTGTTTGCTTTTGGCTGACCCTGTGTGATTTTAATTATCCTAAACCTAAAAGGTAAGATTCGGGGCCCACTGTGCACATACGATAACAAACACGCATCAGAGGAAATATTACAAATATAATTCCTGCTCGAAGCTATGGCAACATTTCTCTGCTCAGGCTGTCACTGTGTGTCTGTGTGCACGCACGGGGCTTTGTGTGTGTGTGTGTGTGTGTGTGTGTGTGTGTGTGTGTGTGTGTGTGTGTGTGTGTGTGTGTGTGTGTGTGTGTGTGTGTGTGTGTGCAGGTACACGTGGTTGGGTTTATTTAGGCCCTATCTTGAATGGATTCATTTTAAAGTGTGAGGTACTTTTGCTCATTTGTTTGCATTCGATTCTCTCATATACTCCTGTCATTTTTAATGTGGGATTTTAGCAAATCAAAACCCTTTCACTTTATTCTTACTGATCCAATGAGATTTAGAAATAACAAAATATGCAAATTGTTAAAATTAAAGGAGAGCAATTATAGGTTGATAATGCACTGCGCTGGAAATCGACTTATAGACCATACACTTTCATTTGCGCTGTACGGGTCAGTTTCTGATGTTTTATTCTCATTTCAGTCCTCAGAATCGAGTTAAAGTTGAATCAAGTGGAAACTTGCTAATAGTGTCAAATAATGCAACTTGTTTTTAATGCAAATTCGCGTTGAAAAAACTTTTATATTTCTTGAAAAAACGGCAAAAAACAACCGGATCATGTTATGATATTTCTGCTGGAAAAGATGAAAGTGTCACCTTAAAACCACTTGATTTGCATTGGAAACAAGTGGACTCATTTTACTGTGACCATAATACGATTTCCCTTGAGTAAAATACAACCTACAGATCCAAAACCAGATTAAATAAGTTCTTTAAATCATCCTGTTTAGCGCATTGTTTTTTTTATTACGTACCTTTCTTTGCTTCTAAATTTGCGGGTCTGAAAAGTTGTTGCTGCTGCTGCTCGACAACAACAATCTGGTTCGGGTTATTTTTAACGAGGGGGGAGTCTGGCCTGTGTTTGGGGTTTGCGCTCGACTCCCCGGCCTGTTGAGAGGAGCTCAGACCCTCGTTTGCAGCAGCAGCGGCGGCAGCGGCTGCGGCGGCTGCAGCCAGACTCACTCCGGATGAATTAGTGTAGCGCAGGATCCCTTGGCCCTGCAGGGGGCTGAAGTTGCCATAGTTTGTGTAATTGCTATAAAAGGGAGAAGTGTAATAAATAGGTCTTCCAAGGATGGAGGGGGCCGGGTAGAGGGAGGGGGAGCTGGCAGCCGGGGAGTTGGTGGAAGGCGTGGAAGGTGTAAGGAGGCCACTGCTGGAGGAGGGGCAATTTGGTTGCCCTGCAGGCTGCCCCGGTTGCTGATGTTGCTGCTTTTGGTCCGAGGTAGCAATCTCTGCCAGTGACCACAGTTTGGGCTTGACTGTAGTGTTCTGAGGGGGCCCTGAAGAGGCTCTGCTGTCAAGGCAGGAAGACGGTTTAGTGGTAATATTAGTGCTGCTGACGAGGCTCCGGCCCAGATCCTCGCGCTCTCTGTGGAGATGGTGGAGGTGATGGAGGTGGTGGTGGTGCTGGTGGTGGTGGTGGTTGAGGGGGTTGTGATGACCGAGAACCGGAGCTTCTACTCCCGTGAGGGGCGACGATGTGACGGATTTGGGCGAGTGCTGTGCGCGCGGGTTGTGGTTGTGTTCGTCGCCGCTCTCGTCGCACTTGTCCCCGGCCTGGTCAGAGCTCAGCTCCCCTCCCACGCCACAGCTGATCTTCTCGACGTCAGACTCCGCAGAGCACGAGTGGTCCGTCAGGGTGTCAACGTGCAAACTGATTCCTGAAACGAATTAAGAATATAAAACATAGTTTAAAAAAAAAAAAGAAAAACAATTGCAATTGAAAAAAAGAAGAAAATAATAATGACATTAGGATTCAGAAATAAAATGATGATTTCTTAAATTAAATGAATGAATATTTGATGCATCTAAACCTAACAGAAAATCTGCAAAAGCTAAAAAAAAAAAGAGAGAAAACAATCCATTACCATTTGTATTCAACCCACCTACCAGGCTTGAACAATTATTGAGTTTATTATCATTTGAAATATAAAGCTGCATTTCAAAGCCTCCCATGTGTTAATAAAGAAATGTCATAATGTTTTGGGTTTTTTTTGCATTTAAATGTATAACTTCATAAATACAATAAAAAAAATAATCAGCCCTATTGCATAATTTCTACTCCTGTGGGTTATGTTTTGTGTCCACGTTGCCACTGACCTGCAATTAATCATGTGAAAGAATGATTTACCTTAACAGGTCAAATGCTGACCTGTCTTTAAATCCTCGTTTTCATAAATCAGTCAACATGGATACTGACACAATACACTGCAATTACATTTTAAAATAAATATAGTCAAACTGAATTTTTCTCTGTTGGAAATACATGTTTTTATATCCTTGATATTTTTATTCAGGCCTACGCAGAATATTCTGGCACTACACAACTTGAGCAGTAAATAAAAAAGGGCATGCACTCCCTCCCCTCTGTCTCCCTCTCAATTGTTAAATGGATCATTGGCTCGGTCGCCAGATTGTACCTTCATCCTCCGCTGAAGCCTCGCTGTTGTCCAGCGTCTTATCAGAGCGCTCCACCTCCTTCCTCTCCCCGTCCCCGTCCTCCTCGTCCTCGTCCTCGCTCTTATTCCTGGGCGCCCAGGTCATCTTGTTCTCCTTCTTGAGCCTCCTCCTGGCGTTGGCGAACCAGGTGGAGACTTGGGTCAAGGTCATTTTTGTGATAATGGCTAGCATGATCTTCTCGCCTTTGGTCGGGTACGGGTTCTTCCTGTGCTCCTGTAGCCAGGCTTTCAGGGTGGCCGTGGCGTCCCTGGTGGCGTTTTTGCGGTAAGCCGGGTCGTTGAGTTGGTAGGGGTACCCCGGGCTTCCATAGGGGTGGTAACTCAATGCCCCGGCCATGCCCGTCGTGTGCGCGTCATATGGAGAGCTCTGGGGGGAAAGTTGTAAAAAGTCATGCGTCTGTGGTTGTTTTATAGAGAGAGTTTTCTTAATGTTACTTCAATCCGGCTTGTGGCTAATTTGCAAAACAAACCGACACAATGTGAACAAGTTGCACAATAACATAAAGCAACATTTAACAAACCAGTCAAACAGTCTATTTTATTTAACAGTTTGTTGTTATTAAAATCCTGTCGGATGTTTGTGTAAGCTCACTGGCATGATGTGATCTTTTTTTTGTGTGTGAAACAAAATATAAAATTACTATGACATTTCAAATTCACAAGCGAAATTAAGTATATTTCTTAAAATGAACTAAGTATAGGTTCATCATAAGATTGTATGCTTTAATCATTTGTCAACCCTGATCATTATGTTGTTTTAAAAGTTTATTTAATGGCACGTTAAGAAGCCTTAACACACCATGCGTAAAAGCAGGCCGCAGAAAGACATGGGCTAATGGTTCACTAATGGTTTAGATCGTTATCGGATTAACTAATAACAAGCCTGCCAGTAATATGGCCGTAAAATAATAAAAAGGAAATTTCAATTTTCTGTAATCAATTATCAACTATCTCATTTTCTTTCAGTTGCTCCTCTTTTGTTTTGTTGTGGCAGTCCCTATGTGTTAACATATCTCCTCTTTGCAGCATTACAAATCCCATTAGCAAATCACTTGATATGCACCTTTCCAAAAACGCTTTAATAGCGAGTCGTGCTTTTCATGTAAAAATTCGGTTTATTCAGCTCACAATAAAGTCATAAAGACACTTCATCCCCGGCGATTCTTAATGAGGTATACTGAAGAGGAAAGAGTTATGGTTTGTGGTATATTAATTTTGTATGATACATAAATTAACAGCTTAGAAGGCTTAATAAAAGTCTTAGCTGGTGTTCTGTTTTACATTATTAGCTGCGCAGTGACTGGTCAAGCTTTTACAATTTGCAGCTCACATTTAAAAATCCCATTTAAGCCTATGGTCAAAGATTTTATACTAAGAACCCGGCGAGTACTGTAGGCCACCAAGTCCGAATGTACTGTATATTAAGCATGCAATCAAAAGAGCGTTTTAGAAGTTACTGACGAGTGAATAATAACACAAACAACGTTAACTTAACGATTTCATCAAGCTTAATGCCAGACAAATGCAGCTGAACATTTTGCGCACAAACAAACGCCAAGGAGTCGACATGATCACTGCGTTAGAGCCCTATCATACTGGACAATACGCGAGATTATGATTTTTATTTTACCATGTAAGATGGGAATCCTGCAGTCGGATCCGTGGAGTATGACAGCGGACTGGAGAAACTTGCACCGGCTGAGGCGGAGAAAGCAGCAGATCCGGGGTAAGGGCTGAAGGCTGAGCCAGAGGACGACCTCGCCAAGTCTTCATTCCGCGGGGCAGCGAGAGCCGAGGCCCCGTAAGCAGGACACGAATAAAGCGCCAGAGAGCCCGGGGGCTGGTAGAGGTAACCCTGAGGATAGGACATTGGTGAGCGCGCGATGGTCGTCGATTCCAAAAAGGGAGGAAAAAAACGCGCAGCGCGTCGGGCAACAAGAGCCAAAATTATAAACAATCAACTCAATAATCAGCCGTGCAAACAGTCATCAGACAATGAGAATAAAAAAAAGTCCTCCCTCCACAGCCCCCTTACTGGGAAAAAACCCCGAAAGATCAGTTAAAGTGCCCTCATAGAGGCAATGTGGCATGCGTCTTGATCCCCTAGCGTCCGATGTTTTTAGTACGCAGCGCTATGAAGTGAGGAGTTAGCAGGGAAGGAGCCAGTGGAGTTTCAGACACAGAGCATTGGGGGAAACTGGAGCTGTCACTCCGGCTCATCTGAATATCCCATCCCCGCCCCCTTTCTGCCTAACAGAAATGGAGCCGAGGAACAAAACCAAGACTCCACACTACAACAAGTAGGCTCTCTTCAAAAGTTGTTTAAGTGTAGAATTATAAATCAAATCTCCCTGACCTGACAGATTATTGAAAGACATCATGAAGTAACTGTTGCGCATGAAAAATATTCGGTCCACAGCTTCTTTTTTTCCCTTAGTTCAAGACCTGTTTCAGGGAAACTCACATCAGGTGATATGAGCAATAATTTAAAATACAAGTTATTTTGAGTTTAATTCTAAATTACGTAATTTTAAGTGTGGTTTAAACACCAAACGATAATATAAACAACATGATTGATTATTATTATTATTATTATTATTTGTAGAACAGGACAGTTAATTTTGGGTCGATGGATTTGTAATTAGTTCATCTGTTTTTGTCTTATAGCTTTGTGCTACTTATTAAGACTTTTTAAGGTCAGGTTGACACAAAGAGTCTGACTGCATGTCTGATCAGAAGTTACGTGGACATAAAAGAGAGAGAGAGAGAGAGAGAGAGGGAGGGAGGGAGGGAGCAAGGAAGAGAGGAGAGAGAGAGAGACAGAGAGACAGAGAGAGAGAGAGAGAGAGAGAGAGTATAAAACGGCTAGAGATCTCCACTGGCAGCTGGTTGTTCCGTCAGTCCGGCGATCAAACGCGGACACAGCCATGAATGCATGCGAGCAGTGATAAGTGTGCGCGCTTCTCAGACAGTGTGCACATTTGTGCTTTGTACCCGTCTCCATACTTCCCACCACTTTAGACATCTCATATACGCACACCCCTTATTAAAGCAATTATATTCATTAGCAACAATAGAGCTGTTGGTGGTTTGTTATTATCGCTTTATGAGGGACAATCTCGACTCTACAACTAACACTTTTTGAGTGTGTCTTGCACTTTGTGTGCGCAGTGGTATTATTACCGGTGAGTTTTGACAGTTTTTGCTGCTGCACATGTCCTGTGTTTGGGTGTCTATACACTGTTGTGTATCTGTGTGCGCGCTCTTGGACGTGTCTCCCTGCAAACCAGGGCACAGCCTTGTCCTTTATTATTGTGATTACAGGCATTATGACCTCTGTTGGAGACAAGCGATACAGCACAGCATGCCGGAAACCTGAAACTGTGACAGCGTTTTTTTGGAACGGGCAGTCAAGGTGGCAACTGTTGGGCAGAAGAGTGGCCGAGCAGTCCTCCTCATCAGTATTCATCCGAATCAATGTATTCATCCATCAGGTGCTTGTTCCTGCACTGCAGTGTGGTCTGCCAGTGTTGTAAACAGCAACAGTACTATTTGAATAGGTGCAGTACAGCTGGCCTGTTAGCAGGGATGACTAATTTATTTATAAGACCTTACAATATGCATGTGTTATAATGTACAAAGAGCATATATGTCTGTTTTTATTATAAACACTATATATCAAGATGCCTTGTATTCAAACCTTGATTTAATTACATTCATAAAAAGGCGTACTGTGAGACATGAATTTCCCTCCAGGGATTACTAAAGTATAATTCTGTCTAGAACATGACACCTTAAAGACCAAAAGTCCCTTGTTTTAAATGATTACCAGTTGAAATAAAATATATTTAAAAATGTTATTTAAAATATGTATTTGCTTCCCTTGTTATATCACTGACAAATTGCCTTTGCTAAAAAAGTACAAAGCTTTCTAAGACTAAATACTTTTACATCTGATTTAATTTCCATTATTATTAAAAAATATCTAAATACGTAGGCATATACTTTATTCATATCCGTCATAGCACATGACTTCAGAGTAATTTAACTTCATGTACACATTTATCAGACGGCATTGAATGAGAAAAAATATTAATTTTAATACTTGAAAAAACACCTGTTTACACTTTGGATTAGAATTTGGAGGTGTAAACATATTCTGCAATTCAACAGTGTAGTCGATATCAGTTGAGTGCAACAAAACACTTTGATAACACCGATAAACATCCAAAAGTGTCAATGACTCATGTGTATGTATGGTTATTATACCACGTGTGCTATCCTTACAAGTCTTCAACTATTTTCAGCTTCATGAAGTCTTAGATGTTTATGAAAATATGAAACACACATTAAAAGTTTTCTTTAATACTACAAGTGTCTGCTATCCATGGTTTGTATATTTAAGAAGATGTAGGTGATTTCTCCCAGGCAGCACTTATCAATCTCAGAAGAGTAGATGAGTCCACTCACTATAGATTGGGTCAAGATATGGCTGACTGGGAGTTCTGTTTGGCCCACACCAGGGGGCACTGTCTCCTCTAGACACAGACCAAAGGCTACCCATACTGTACTGTAGTTCACTATTAGAGAGAAAGAGAGAGTGTGTGTGTGTGTGTGTGTGTGTGTGTGTGTGTGTGTGTGTGTGTGTGTGTGTGTGTGTGTGTGTGTGTGTGAGTGTGTGTGTGTGTGTGTGTGTGTGTGTGTGTGAGTGTTTGGTCTATAACTTATTTTTGTTGGGTTTGTGAAAATGTATATGGTAAGCATATAATTGTGTTAATGTAATAGTTTGTGCATATGCATATTGTAGTTGTGAAAGTGCACCTGCGTGTGTATGTGTGTGTGTGTGTGTGTGTGTGTGTGTGTGTGTGTGTGTGTGTGTGTGTGTGCACGTGTGTGTATGTGTGTGTTACACTCTACAGTAGTACATTCCAGGTTTCAGTGTCAGGGCTCCTATAAGATATTTTAGACTGGGCCTGATGGAGATATAGGAGATGGGAGTGAAGAGATTGGCGGGCAGACAGGCAGAAAGACAAGGCAGACAGAGAGACAGACAGACATATAAAGACAGTATAGAAGGGTATAGAGACAGGCAGATGAAGTGAGACAGAAGGGCATTAGGTCAGACCAACAGAGAGGCAGACAAGGAAAAAGATGTAGGGGCAGACATATACCTGTCTCACATGACCTTAAAGCCAGCTCAGACTTAAATTGTCTGTTATTTCTTTAAATCTGTGTAGTATAGATATATATTTTTATTTTTGTAAAATGATACTGACATGAATGATAATATGTTATAAATATATTTGCAAAAAAAACCAAAAACTTTGTGTGTACCACCTTTCCTTAGGTTTTATTCAAAATGAGCTGTCTTCAAGTATACTTTGTTTCTTAAAATGCATTGGATGATTTTTTTTACACATAGCTAAGTTACTACAACTACATATAAAAAGTAAGGAAATTATATATTTGGAAAATAACCTGTTTTTTTTATTATTTGGCTTTCATAGTATTTTGAGAGACACTGCATGCCCTCCCTTCAAACACACCTTGAACTAACAAACGTACACGTTTATGTGTTATATTGTGTAATATTTCTTCTTATTAATATTATTATTGTATTCATGTAAAGAGTCAATCGAAAGATATACTTGTGACTTAATGTCTCAGTATTATAAATACTCTTGTGTGAAAGCTGACAGTATAAACTGATATGGATATCCAATCCTCACCCTGAAAACTTCACACCAGATGCATTGGTTTTATGAAAAATGTCATCCTTCATGAATGAAGGAAACAGCCATTGATTTTTCATTTATACTCTCCCAACAGAATTTGCCATTGAATAATGTAGACCTGGCTTAGCTGCTTGTATTATTTTGTCTGATGATTGCTATCAGCTAACCCTTTTTGGTTGGGTAAATAGCCCAGAGTAGAAGGATAAAGCTTTGATGTCATGCCCTTTGTTTATTACACATGTGACTAAAGTAATATTGATTTCTGATTTTCCATACACTTTTAATCCTCTGCAGTGCAGCTGCTGTGGACCTTTTTGTGTGCTCTCGACTTTCAAGTCATTGAATTGAGGTTGGTGTGTTAGCTAGGTGGGTGCATTTAGGGGCATTGTTGGAGGCAGGTGGAAGTGTGAATGCATGTGTGTGTCAGTCTATCACGCTTAAATATGCATGGCTGTGGGTGCATGGCTAACAGTGCAGTGGTGTAGCAGAGAAATGGAGTAGTTATGTAGTCATATCGACCTGAAATTAATCAATATGGTCTGGAATAAAACTGTATGATTGAAGCTGGAGCCTGGCTATTGTTCACTGTAACATCAGTGTGACTTATTAGAATGGTGCGTTAAGTTTTTCCACCCTAAAATACATATTTGTTGTCTCCTATAGTCTGTCTTCAGGATCGTTCTTGGGTTTTCATTGAGTGAGGTGTTGTACCTCTGGAGAGAGTCCAAATTTTGCATCAGTTGAGAACACCTTCTTTAAACATCACTATTTACTCTTAGAAACCACAAAGCTCAAAATGTGTGATCCTATGTGGGCTTCTGAGGGAATGTTTAGTATCAAACACTTGCACAAAGTAGATTGCATGTGTGTTTTTGTGCTCGTGTGTGTGTGTGGGTGTGCAGAAGGAAGCAGAAGAACTCCATTGTGATCGTTTATTGTGTAACTTAGTGAGCTGGGCAGACTTATTGTCAGCCTTGTATGATCAAAACAACTCCATGAAGCTCCTAAGATCATCAAAGAAAATTTAAAAAGTTGCTTTTCATGTTTTTGCAGTCTGTTATAACAATTTGATTTTTGCTGCATTTTAATTCAAAGCGCTACTACAATTCATCCAGTACCCCCCCATTGGGATTGCCACGGAAATGTCTTTGGTCTTTTTTTTTCTGACAACGAGGGAGGGGTCAGTAGGGGAGGGGGCAACAGTGGGGACGAGGGGTTGGGTGGCAGACTGGCGACAGGCCGTCATCTCTCTCCCCGCCTGGCATCTGCCCACTGCTGCCAACCCTCCTCTAATCAGCAGCCGTCCATGCGCTTGGCAGCAGAGGGGGTTTCAAATCAGCTTCTCGCCCCGAGTTAAAAACCCTAAGCCCTATCACTTT